ATGCCGTAGTCCACCACTAGCGTACCTAAGTTTGGGGAATAAAGATGGCTTACTTTTCAGAAACATAGATAGATAGTCAGGGAAACATAGATCGATAGTCAGGGAAACAGAGTTACAACTATTAAGGCCAAATTTATTATCCGTATCACCTCTTTCTACTATTCAACCTGAAAGCCCAGACAGTTCTTACCTTTGCCTGCCATTACATATTGTTTATGAACAATATAGCAAACTGAAGGAGGGGAGAGAGAGAGATTGAACGAAGGAAAAAGAAAGGGGACCCATGATTCAAAACGAGTCTGAAATTGAGCATAAGCATTGTACAATGCAGAATCAGACCTTTTCAGAAAGGATAATTAACCCTCCCTCCCTCCCTCCCTCCCTCTCCCGCCCCCTTTCCTCCCACATCACAATTCACATACATCTTTGATCCTAACGTTCCTTCACCTCTAATGTGACATGTTCCCTTGGATAAACATGCCTGGCACCAAACTATTATTATATCATAAAACCCACACCTTAAACACACCAACTTGAATCCTAAATCTATTACACGTCTGAAAACTCCATCTTAAATGCTCTTCATCATTTTTCATTCAGCTCGACTTTCAAAGTCCAGATATGTTTTGCAATGAAAATTTGAACATCATACGAATAGGGATGTACAAGACCGACATATTATTAAAAAGAAGAAGTAGTACAAGGGAAATTAAATGGGCAGAGGAAAAGAAGGTGGGGACAGTGGGGGAAAGAAAAAAAAAAAAAAAAGGAAAAAAAAGGAGCGAACTGAAATGAGAGGACGGTGAGTGGGTGGTAGAATAATGGGTGGCATTTCCAATACAATAATAACAAGAATAAAAATATATATATTAGCATGCAATAGAAATGCAACTTTTCATGCATCATATATAATTCTATATGTACCTGGAACGACCCTACCTGATATGACCAACCATGCATTGACTCTATCCTTTTTTCATTCAAACTCCATCATTCACCACTTTGCAGCCACCGATTTCCTGTTTCCATACCGTTTGATTTGATTTTCTTGCCATTCTTCTTTTCTTTCCTTCCTTTTTCACCATACCAAATTAGTTAGTATCCTACCCTACCCCAATCAAACTTCAACTTGATTGGAGATCACTGTGCATTTTGTTCGGTGACAAAGGAAACCACCCAGGCCCCTATAAATCTAGGGTTATTGTTCTTGTGAAATGTCGAAGCCTGTTTCCAGATCTAATAACAAGAGCACAATATAAACAATTTTATTTTCAAATAAAATATGTAGAGTCCAGACTTTTGTTTCAAATATCTAACTGAGGGTATCATTCATTTAAGTATACAATATGGTTTAAGGGCTCACAAATTCTTCCCAATGATCACTTCAAACGATAGGGAAAACAAAATAGAGATTGGGAATGGACAAAAGGATGAGATCTAAAGATTGAAAAGTTTCAATGTCTCTCTATAAGGTAGGCCAAAAGAATAGTGCCTAGGTCAATCGCAATAAGTTCGGAGAACAATTAAATTAATCTCATGTTAGGAAAATCTCCCATGTTCAAGAACATACAGACCATAGAGATGTTTAGAATAAAGACACATTTTTGGTCCATGTAGTTTCATCCTTCAAATTTGTAATAATTTAGACTCTAAACTTTAGTATATAACAATTCAATTATTATATTATCAAATTTGTAATAATTTAGTTTCTATCATGAAAAGTCTCAAATTTATGGAGTATCTGCTTAATATTTGCAATCTATGAACATATTTGGTTCTCTTATTAGTCAATTGATCTACAAATACAAGAAACTTCAATAAAACTTATCAATATGTTTTTCACAATAGAAACTAAATTTATTACAAATTTTAAGTTGCAGAGAGGGGCTTGTTACATACTAAAGAACAAAAAAAGACTAAATAGATGGGCCACTAGTGTAAAAGTACCAGACTAGAAGTGCTTTTTAACCAAAATTAGTATAATGAGCAAGAAACATGGGCCACTACTACTGTTGTTGTTTCTTACATTTAGGAAGAGAATTGAAAAATTAGGAAATTCATGTAATTGGCATTAGGGAAATTTGTGATGGGGGAAACAAACGATTAGTGTACCTTGGGGATTGGGCTCTTCTTTAAGTTTCAATTAAGAACATAAAGAATTGGGTTAAGAGGAAAGAAGGGCAGATTGGTAAAGGGAGACGATTGGTCCCCCAGTCCCATCACGATTCAGGAAATGGGTCAGGTCTTTTGTGAGTTGAAGCAGAGCAGGGAGCGAGCAGAGAGCAGCTGGCTGCCATTGCCTTTCCCATTTTTCTGATTTAGATATTTCTCATCTTCTCTTTCTTTCGGTAGTTTTGGGTGTACCCGCTCCTTCTAACCTACGGTTACTCCATGACTCTCTACATGTTTCTTCTCTGTCTTCCTCCTCTTTCTATCTCTTTTCTTTTCTTTTCTTTTAATTCGCATTTCATTTTCCACCCTACACTTAAAAATAAGTGTTTGGATCGATCAATAACCCTCTGTTTATTTAAAATATTGTACCACTTCTAATTTTTTTTTATTTCTTTAATAAAAAAGACAACAATTCCAAATTGAACTTCATATTAATTTTTTATTTCACATGTGAAGATTTTATTATTATTATTTTAATAATAGATGAAAATTTAAGACACATTTCATCTCTATATTTTCATGTTTGTGTAACTTCATCCCCTATACTTCAAAAAAAAAAAAAAAAAAAAAAAAAAATTTAAANGTTCCATCAAGCAAAGTCTTTAGGGCAATGTGTGTATTTGACATTTATTGTCAAAAGAAATTAAATAGATATTTAAATAAATTATTATAATTAATTAATTTATTTATTTATGGAATGTATATGATTTATTAAATGATTAAGCTAAATGGTAAAATGAGAAATTTCCAAGGTCATGATGCTTTGTAAAAGATTTTTCTCATTCCTTAAGAAAGATTAAAGATCTATAATTTGTAAAAGTCAAATCTAAGAAAGATTAAAGAAGATATCGCCCCTTAGATTATTGCATATATAAAATATGAGAGTTGCTATTGCAACCTCAAAAGAACATTGCTTAAACCTTGATACTCAATCCACGACAAAAGAGAAAGTCAAGTTTGAAAGATTTGTAAAAAGAATTAAATTGACAACTTGAATACTTTCCACAACATGGTATCATACTGAAGATAGTGACGATTGTACCAAGGATTGAGTAGACGTAGAAAAAGTTGAGTCGACAACCTTGCCTTCCTCCTTCAACAAATGATCAACTGTCAATGAAGTTTTACTATTTTCTTTTATTTCTTTCCTTCACAAACTATGCTTCGAAGAATTAGAACTCTACGGTTAGTCAATACCGATATACACATACCTAGTTGAACCGAAACAACTCAACCCAACCCATTTTTAAAATTTTAACCCATCTCAAACCAAAAAAAAAAAAAAAAAAAAAAAAAACAAATTTAAAGATGGCCACCTGGTGCAATTTGAGATAAGCTATAATTACAAAATAATTAAGTAACAGGACCAAGAAGAAGAAAACAATAATGTAGTTAATTATTTGAACATTCATCATAGTAAGATTCTCTAAATTAACAAATTAGAAGATCAAAATAAGTTTAGAAATAAAAGAAAAGAGAGAGACAGACAGACAGAGGAATGCAAGGACCAAGGGAATAATATAACCAAAGTGCTGAATTATAAGGATGGAAAGTAGAGAGATTAAGATAAGTCATGGTTGTCACAGTCGGAGTGATGGCTGTAGGCATTATGGGTGATAGAAATGGAGCCCAGATATCAGATATTCCAGGGGCCATCATTGTCCCAATCCTTTGACTCATTTATACTGATGCAACCCTTCCTTTGACCCCATAAAATAAAACCCTCTCTCTCTCTCTCTCTCTCCCCATCTCTTGCTTTTAGGTTCAGTGCCTATACACCTCCTTTTCTCACTTCATTCATTTTTATCCGTTTTGGTTGGAGAATGTCTTGTCAATACAGCCCTCGCTTCATTTCTGCCTAATCTTACCTCATCCCCCTCCAGTTATCACTAGCATTCAACAACTCCTGCCTCCCTTCCCCTTTACAACTCTGCCATTTACATCTTTCCTTAGTTTCAAGACTCTCTAAAGGCTAAAGCAAAAGAGGCATTTGTGTAGACCGTGTAAGAGTAAGTTTAAATGCATATGGATAGAATCGTGAGATCTAATCTCATATAAACCCACGCCTACCTCCACACTAAATACTCCTTAAAATTAAAAAGAGGCATTTGCCTACAGAGTTTATATAAGAATAAAATTTAAAATGCATGTGAATGGAACTGTGAAATCCAATATCTCTGTACTTTTGAGCTCCTAGAGTCGGGAGATCGAACTTTTAAAGACATTATATGACTTAATCAGGCAAATACTTAACCCTTCTTAATTGATTGTGCTATAAAATTAAATATTTTGTTATTTAAAGTGTGTGTGAATTGCTTTTCATGCAGTTTTGATTTGGGAATCTCATATCATAAGAGGTCTTTATCATATTTACTAGAATTGCAAGGTAAATCGGTAGTTGGAAGGGGTGTTGGAAAATGATATTCGTTCTTTTATTTCTTTGGGTTGATGTCTATCGTGACATCATTTTGACCACTAGATTATCTTGCTCTAGTTCAAGTTTGGTTATTTTATGTGTTGTTAAAGGTTTGCACATTTTCTAAGTACAGCATTTTAACCTGCAGGCTTCGTCAGTTTCTAAAGAAATATCAAAATTGGCTCAACTATTCAGGAAAAGTACCTTCCCTCAGCTTCTATTTGTTCGGATGTCAAGAAAATAGGCACAACTTACTTCAAAGCACACATTCTTATTCCTTTGTCATATATTTCAGACAAAGTGAGGTCTCCCTTTCTAATCTAGGCAAAAGTGGTCCAATGGTAAATGGAGTTTCTTGATAGCATAAGTTCAACAGGTCCAAAAATCAGCAAAGTCATGTTAAAACATGAGGTAGGGGAAAGAAACTCATAGTATATGTTAAAAAATTAGTTGCAGCACATCTCCACTTGAATTCTTGATGATTATTTTCAGGGTTTCAACTGGTTACGTTATATACTCTACACTTCCTATCACCCAGTTAGAAGAATTTTGTAGGCAAAATTCAAATGGTGTACAGAGTAAAATTCAATCTGTAGAGAAGGTAAAAAATAACATTACATGGCTTGGACTGATATTGTTGCACTTCCAATGTTCATCGCAAGACAACGTTCAACTTGCTCTGAACCTGTTCTCTCACGTTCCACTGCATTTGCAACCACAAAATATATGAAGGCTGTATCCAAACTTCTTTTTCAAACAAGTTAATATATAATAGGGATATAACTTAAAGTTGATAAATACCTGCAAATCATTGATTTCTTCATCTGTGAGTGACCGTTCCATAGATCGGTAAGCAATCCTGTAACAGTGACTCGTCATCCCTTTCTTCTTGTTGGTAAAACTGTCTATCAGTTGTACCTGCCAGCATCCATTTGTAAAAAATTAAAATGACTTCATTAAACGAGGTGCAACTTTCCGGAAACTAACAGACCAGGTTAATTGAAAGAGTATCCATGATTGAAAGAACGTTTTCAGATTTACACAACCAACTTTATCTTTTAAAAAATTGAACTTCAGATAGCAGATTTTCTCAAGCATGTATTTCGAGAAGAAAAAGGTTCTCATGCCCCTACCTTAAGCATTTCATTAAAATTATCTTAAGAATTATATATGCGCTGAAAACAGTTAATAAAATACCTCTTCAACAAGGTCGCCGGCAACTCCTCTAACAACTTCACATAAATTATTCTCGGTGAAGGAATCATTGATCCAAAAACTGATGTCCTTGTAGCAAGGTGGAAACTGCAGCAGATTGAATTACTAAAGTTTTTTAAAATAATTTAGAAGATGTAATTTGTTAGAAAGCATATTGAAACTAGTTCGATGTTACTAAAAGAAATAGAATTATATGCTCTCTCAGGAAACGGAAGATTGTTATCCCTTCATGCCTAAAATGTTTGGTAAAAGTACCTTAGAAAACGATTTAAACTTGACACCTAGCTTGCCCTTTGAGAACTGCAAATAAAAAGCCCAACGTGATGATTGGATAATTTATTTTCAAAGAGAAAACAGAGTGGAAAAAATGAAAGAGTATAGTTTAAGTGGTGCAATTAGGTACCTGCGTGGTAAATCGCTCGTCAGCTGACCAAAATAATCGGATATCAGGTATATCAAAAAGAACCATAGCTAGCCTTTCCAACCCGAGACCAAAAGCCCATGCAACATTATTTTCTTTATCACTTCTTTTCAATATTTCTTGCTCCATCACCCCGCATCCCAATACTTCCAGCCATTTCTCCTGCGTGGGTAGGACATCAAATGCCCTCAAATTTTAGGATTACTTTTTATTATATTTTTTGTTGAACAGAAAGAGAGAAAACAACTACAGATCCAAAGAAGGAACTAACAGCAAATGCAATGTAAATAATTTGACGAGGAAATCTCATAATTCAAATATCATCCATTCATTCTTTTATAGGATTCATGGGCGGAAATAATAGCTGAGAAATGGTTGTGGCCAATCCTAATTAGAGGAACCTTTTGTTACCCTCTTGCCTATGTCAGGCTGATAACTTATCATCTTTGTATTGTTTTTGGATAATGAAAGTTTCTTTATCCCAAAATAACCCCCCACCCACACACACCCAAAAATACAGAAAAACATCTGTCCCCTCCCAAGCACGTTTTCACTTCTTGGTTCCCTCGTCTAACTTATCAAAGTCAAAAAGTTGTAAGGTTATCATCTAGGTTCTATTTAAAGTTCATATATGATAAAACAGAAATGCCATTGTGTAAATGGAATTAAACTTGACATATTTAAACTTATATATATATATATATATATATATATATATATATCGGCGGCAATGAAAGTCATTCATAAAAGAAGTAATGCAGTGTACCATAATCAAATTATTGAGTTCTGAAGAGCAAATTGACTAAACGATCATCTGACGTACCTGAAAGAAAATCTCAAGTTCAAATGATGGATTTGTAAATGGGAAATATGTATCAACCCAGCGCATTTCCACAGCACCTGGAAATTTTAATACATCAGTTTATAATAACATAGCTGCATAATGTGTACAACCACTGCAAAATTACAGAAATTACTTTAAAAAATCAAAGCCTAATTACGTAAGTTGGGAATCTATTTTTCGTTTTTATCTTAAAAATGTAACTACATTTGGAATAAGTTTTTATAATAATCATATGCAAAATAAAAATAATTAATACTTATCCAATACATTATACTTATTACTTCTACAGTTTGTGTCTTTTAACCGATTATTCTGCAAGTGCTATTGTTTTGTCTCTACCCAAAAATCGTTTGTATTCCCATATGAATTTTCAATAGAATCCCCAACCATAACTAAGATAGAAAGGGAAGAATCATGGGTTAATTCATACACAACTCTTACCAAATAAATGCCTTGCCAAACCTTCCAAACATTTCTTCAAGTCGTCAGCTGCAAAAGATGTTCCATCTGTACCAGATGCCTCCCAATCATTCAGAGAAAAAACACGGACACCTTCCATCTGAGAAGTAGGCAAAGAAATTCATTAAGTGAAAACTATGGTAAATTTAGCAAATGACATGATTAATAAACTTATTTAGATTACCTGATGAAATACAGGGTAATGAGTTGAATCAATGGAATCCCGACGATAAACATCGCCTGTCACAAGAAACTGAGTATAGCCTCTTCTCAACAGCTCCGCTTGGTGAGCACTTGTATGACATCTCAGAACAGTTTGCGAGTCAATGTAGTATGTATCATTATAACTTCGGCTTACATGATCTTCTGGAACCAACACATCATCAAAATTCTGCAGACATAATTATAGGATTCAGATACAAGAGGCTTTGTATGTTTAAAAATAATTGTTATTATAAAATGATTAATTAATAAATAAACAACACGATAAGCTATTGGAATTTAGGGAAAAAATTTGACCAGTCAACAGGAAAGTTGACAAATACCAAACCGATCCCGCCATCTTCCAAAATAAGTTCAGTACTTCAATAAAAATCACGAAAAGAATGAAAGTTTCTTTTTTTTTTGAAAAAATACACTTTCGGTCCCTTAGTATTGAACTTAGCTTCTAATTGTTCCTGAGATTTCAAAGCCAAAACTTTTGGTCCGTGAACATTAAATTTAGTTCTATTTGGTCCTTAAGGTGTTTGGTCCCAAGATTTGAATTACTTTTTGGTCCTTAAAGTTTGAATGTAGTTTCTGTTTAGTTATTTCAGAAGTGATACACTTGGTCTTCGAGATTTGCATTTAACTTTTAATTAATCCATCAAGTTTGAAATTGGTTTCAAATATGTTATTATTACTCTAGAGAGAAAATTGATAATTCCAAATTGACCACATTGGCCTCCATAGAAAATAAAGATGTAAATCAAAAGGTTATTAGTGAGTCAAATGAATACAAGGGTGTTAAGTTAGTGAACTTCATGAGATCAGAAGATGCTCTTTCATATGAGCTTATTTGGACCACTGGACGCCACAATTTCTTTATCCTTCATATGTTTTCTGTCATTAGTTCCTTCTAGATCAAAGATTCTTCAATCACTCTGATATATTAATCAGAATGCGGTATATCAAATTCAGAGGCTCTATAGCAGCGTAAAACCCATTTTTCAACGAATTGGCTACGGGACTAATCCATTTCTGAAAACTAAAATTTCCGCAGGCATAAAGATAGTCATAGAATGAGCTTCATTTGAGCCTCAAAACTAATTGATGAGTTTAAAAGGCTTACCTCCTTCACAGAAACGATTGGACTGAGGTCATCAAACTTAGTGAACTTATTTGAGTAATTTGTATCAAAATAGTTGTATATCTCATTCTTCAGAATGCCAAGTGGATGGTTATCTCTTTGGTGGAGTTGCATACCAAGTTTTGAAAAAATACTATCTGGGACATTGTTCGTGGGATCATCCCTCACAACATCTGCAAGCCTCCAATAATATAGCAAAGCAATCACATTAAAATTGAACTTCTACGGCAAAAATTCGAAAAAAAAAAATGTTTATTGACAACAAAGTTCAACAAGCACCTAGAAAATTAAATCCTTAAGACTTTGGATGGGTTAACAAAAGAGAAATGTGAAATGTAATGAAATGTTATACAACTTCAAATCGGGGGGAAAATGAAGCAACATAACAACTGAGAAACATTTTTGGAAGTGGTTATATCTCCTCAACGCCAAAATAAAAGTGGAATCCAAGAAGTGGATACATTATGACTCAGAATGACAGAACCAAGCTTAAAAGTTATTTCTCCTTAGAAATTAGAAATATGCACAGCTGCTGTACCCATCTCTTTAGCTTAATTCTCTCGATTATATTCTTAAGTTAACATCAACAAGAAATTGAATAAAGACAAAAAAAAAAAAAAAGAACTCGCTCTTAAAACCAATAAATTCAACGAAATCGCGGAAGTTCAACCACAAAATCTCACAAATAGGAATAAATCCGTGCCGCAGAATACATTAGCGGATTATGAAAACAATAAAACGAGATAGACAAATAAAATAGAAGAAGAAAGAATAGTTGACCATGTTTCCCAATAGCGACTCCGCCAAGCTCAAGAAGTGAAGAAACCGGCTGCCTCCATTTCTTCTGGTGAAGGCTGTCGGAGGAGAAAGATGCAGAGAAGGAAAAGGTTGCGAGGCAGTTTCTGCGAAGAAGATTAGAAGCATTAGTGAAGAGAAAAGGTCGAGTAAATGACAGAGTCGATGTCATTGTCTTCGTCCTGTCCACTTCGGGAGATGGTACACGATCTTTTATCGCGGGAGATTTTCTGGCGCCGTCGATCGCAAAAGAAAGAATCCATCGAACGAACGAATCATGTGGGCTTGCTTAGGCCCATTTTTTACCCCAGGCCCATTTTTAACCCAGCATCGAGGCCCAAGAAAGAATCCTTCGAACGAACGAATTGTGGGCTTGCTTAGGCCTATTTTTTACCCCCAGGCCCATTTTTAATCCAGCATCGAGGCCCAAGAAAGAATCCATCGAACGAACGATTTGTGGGCTTGCTTAGGCCCATTTTTTACCCCCAGGCCCATTTTTAATCCAGCATCGAGGCCCAAGAAAGAATCCATCGAACGAACGATTTGTGGGCTTGCTTAGGCCCATTTTTACCCCAGGCCCATTTTTAACCCAGCATCGAGGCCCAAGAAAGAATCCATCGAACGAACGATTTGTGGGCTTGCTTAGGCCCATTTTTTACCCCAGGCCCATTTTTAACCCAGGCCCATTTTTAACCCAGCATCGAGGCCCAAGAAAGAATCCATCGAAAGAACGATTTGTGGGCTTGTTCAGGCCCATTTTTACCCCAGGCCCATTTTTAACCCAGCATCGAGGCCCAATAACTTTAGAAAACCAATTTTGTCGAGAAGGAACAGGAAGTTTATTTATCCGTAACCAAAATTGGATGAAAGTTCAAAATTTTAAATTTAAAATTTAATAAATTCAATGAAAGTATATTAATTCGTTAATTTGTATGGCGCTGACCTATTTTCTTTCCATTTATATCAAAAAAGATAATACGATATCTCCTCTTTTTATGTATAACAAATGTATAGTAGAGATTTGGACCTTTTAATTTAACTTCAAACAAAAAAATATTTCAATTTTAACCAAATCATTATTTTTTTTTTTTTTAAATCAGAAATTTATAAATAAATATTATACGACAGTAGCTAATTTTATAATTTAAAAAATATTATGAAGCATAAATAATTGTAATTTTGAAAAGGATTCCCTTTTACAAGTTAAATGGGAAGGCATGTTTGGTAATAAAGAATCACAGTCTTGGGGGTTTTATCAATCAAATTTATTCCTCATTTAATCATTGAAATTGCATACAGAGTAGTGAAAAATGAAAATAAATAGTTTTTCCTTTTTAAAAATAAATTTTAAATCTACAAACACAAACACTCAACAGCCCTAAGTTGGCACCTCAATTATTGGCTCTTAAATGTACTTTAAATAACTACAAATTCAAAAATATTCCTTTCCTTCAAGTTCAAGTCAGAGGTTCAAATACTCCTCATACCATATTTGTTTGTGGTGTGCTACTAAAGGCAAATTCCGTATAAGGATGATTCCCATCTGCCAATCGTCACATGATCCGACACATCGATCTGGTTACAACAACATTACATTCATTACAGTGATGGGTATCAAATTTCTTTATTAAAACTAGATAAGCAGGCATGGCTCGAGAATCAACGTGTTAAATGGTAAACCTGCTTGAAAAGAGATGAACCAAAATGATGCGTGAGGAGGTCATTTGTAAAGCTTCTCCATGATATTTTTTATGCCTGCAACATCAGCACCGATAATCTCCCCTGCCTTTTTGCCACTCTGAAAGAAATGAAGTGTTGGCTGTTACCCAACACAACAATAAGCATATGAGAATAGTAGATATCATTGCATCAATTAAATTCCGACAAGTTTTTAAGGTTGTTTGAGCTAGAGCCTTTTAAAATTTAATATAAAACCGCATTCATAATGGAACCTGCATAAAAATAACCTAAACTCAGAATTACTGGACATTCAAACATCATACACAAGACACGGCATAATCACATGAGATTGTAAAAATTTGCTATTGGGAATATTCTAAAAACTCAAAAAGAACATTTCAGAAACATGAAGACAAACCAAAAGGCTCAGATATGACTTATATATGACAGCACCAGTAGGTTTTTCCCAATCCCCCCTCTCATTTTCATTGATAAACAAAGTGGAACGAAACCAAGAAGACAAATCATGATAAACCAAACTACCAAAGCAAAGGCAAAATGTCATCCAACAGTTTTAAGTGGAGCAAAAATATCTAGTCACCATCCATTATAATTGACTGATGCAAGTCTAGGCAGAAACAAAGTTATTTACCTTTTAAAAAAAAAAAAAAAGTTAATTCGATTGGTTTGTCCTCTCTAGATTAAAGCTTCTAGTAATATTAGAAATACACAGGCAGATCAAATTGCAAAATGCAATCAGAAAACATCAAATAGTACTGCTGAAATTAGGCACGAAAATAAAAAAGATTGAGCTCTCGAGCTATTCATAAAATTTATTACAAGGCTGTAGGAAATTACAAGAGCTGAGACTCTTACCACAGAGGTAATATTTAAGTCACTCAAAGTTCTTTCGAGTCCCTCCTGTAAAAGGCATAACAATTTCATTATGACCCATTTTGAGTGCATGAGATGATAAAGGCATAGTATACCAAATCGTCAAAGAATATTAAGAAAGGACTGCGCGAAAAGAAGTATGCAACAGATTCAATAATTTTCCCAGGCATAAAGTACTCTAAAATAAGCTTCTTCTTTTGGACACGAATAAAATAATAGAAAATATAGAAGAGAGAAGAAATCTTCCCGCACCCTAACCAATGGAGATTAGCAAAACGCATACAATCAGAATGCAACATGGAAAAAGAGAAGAATCCTTTAGAATTTTAAAATACATATATTTATATTTATATTTTTTTAATTAAATAATAGAAATAGTAATAAAACACACACACGCACAACCTGATTAGGAACTTAATCTAGAAGCTAGAAAGAAATGGTGTTCTTTCTAACTAAAACTACCAATATGGATCCTCAGAAACCTCCTCTTTCTCTCCAACCGAATCATCCACACTGATCTGCAGCATGCAATGATTGACAAAAGTTTTCAATTGCTCTCCAAGCCTTGACCTAACCAGCATTGCATAAACTCAAAATTGTTCCCCAATTAAATCAATCAAAACCTCACTCCTAATTCCTTTCAAAAGTTTACAATAAAGAAGGTGCTAGTTATCCTGACTTCCTTGTTCCACATACTGCACCATTGACAGATACGGTTACAATGGAGTTCTTCCCTGAAACTGGACAAGTCTTTGACGTTCCCATGCAATAAGGACCAAAGCAAAGACTTTCCCTTTTGTGAAATTTGAAGGTTATTGCTAACCTAATCCCTTTCTCAAGGCCGTCACAGTCAACAATCAGCTGGATCATATTCCACAAGATTATTGAACTTAAAACATGTAGGAAGTATTACAAACAAGTCCGTCGTTGACAATCGGTTGGGCAATGATTCCAATGAATGTTGCACAGTTTGAGGAAAGCTGATCCTTTTTCTTTGTCTTTTTAAAGTTAAAAAATATGTGTGTGTGGTTGGGTGGAGACTTCAACCTCTGTTTTTTTCACTGATATAATGCCTTAAGAAAGCTATCAACATTGACTACCTACCTGATCAATGTCGATTTTATATGTTGTCACCTGAGGATGGTTCTTACTCAATTCTTTGATTACAGGGGATAACAATCTGCCTGCAGATATAGCAATAAAACAAATTGAGAGTCCATACAATACATCAAACATCTAGCAAAAACTCCAGGAAAACTATATGATGTGCACATGTTTATGCATAGAAAAAAAGTCAACTAATTGAATCGACCGTATGTAAAACTGTTTTGGAACTCACAAGGACCACACCAGGCAGCTGTGAAGTAGAAAATTGCCGGCAAAGCTTCATCTACAATGAGTTTTTGGCAAGGAAAAAAAAGATCCAGCGGTATTAAGCAGCTGAAAAGGCAAAGGAAGAAATTTATTTGCCAAAATGATTTGCTAAAAGGGTATACCTTGTGCTTTCCCAAGTGACTTCTTGAATTGATCTTCAGACTTTATCATGATAATATTCGAAGGATCTGAAATCATGTTTAAATCATCACTTAATTTCGTTCAAACCGTAGAGAAAAAAATAGCAGTACTCAAATCCCAAACTCCAAAGGAAGGAAAAACGATATGAGCATACAGCAACAGAGCGAAAACTGCTGTAAATTATTGTGCTAAAAACGAAACGACAAAACAAAACACAACGGTTTCTCGAGATTTATTCGAGAAAAAATGTACTTTTGCAATTTACCCATACCAGAAACAAGTCAGTACGCAGGAAATACCAAAGAATAAGAAAGATTTACAGTGATTTAATCAAGAAAGACCTGCATCATTTGGCTCGTTTATTGAGCAGTGAACCATGAGATCCAAAGAGCACAAATAGAAATGCTAAGAACTCGTTTTAAATGTCTGTTATTTAAGTTCTCAGCACAAGCTTCAAATTTTCAAACCGACCCTTGCAAACAGCACATATACAAAGAAGATAAACGCAATAAACACGACACTCATAAGAATCCAGCAGTAACAAACAATCGCAGGGCCAGATTTTGGCTGAAGATGAAGGAGGGGGGACGTGAAAGGCAAAACCTGACGCTGAGCATAGAGGTCGACAGTGCCGAAAAGGTAGGCTGGGGGACTGAAAGTCCGGCGCACTGCGATGGGAGGGAGCGGCTGAAAACGAAGATGATGATGACGAACTTCCAAGAAGTATTTCAGAGCGACTGAAAATAGAATAATTGCGATAACATGGACCTAGCCATCGGCCGTGGTCGAGAGCTCGCCGGAGTAGACGCCAGTGAGAGATGATATTTCTTCCCATACCGCCGATTCGCCGAAATTGAGTATCGCTCTCTTTTCTCTATCGTGTTTATTTATCTAACAAAATGAAAATTTAGTTGGAAATTGGAGAAAACTGAAGGGTGATTGACATGGAAATGGGCCTTGATGGGCCTAATTGAGGTCTTAGATAGACAAGCCAGGCCCAGATATAAGCCCAATATCAGGTCCACCCAATTTATTGATTAAAAAAAATATGGACCTCCAGCGGAATTCCAGAGATGTGGGTTTAGATGGTAAGGAACTGATGGATTAATATTAAAAAATGGTGACGTAGAAATCGAGTCCTAGTCTCTAA